TGAGACCATCCTGGCTAACATGGTGAAACCCCATCTCTACTAAAAATGCAAAAAATCAGCTGGGTGTGGTGGCGCTCACCTGTAGTCTCAGCTACTCGGGATGCTGAGGCAGAAGAATCGCTTGAACCCAGGAGGTAGAGATTCCATTGAGCTGAGATCATGCCACTGCACTCCAGTCTGGGTGACAGAGCGAGACTCCATCTCCAAAAAAAAAAAAAAAATTATACCAGGACAACAACAGCACAAACTGGGCTTGTCCCAGGTGGACTGGGACATAGGTACTGGATTTAATCCCCCATCCCTGAGTAACAGAGTAGCTCATCTGCAACTGTTTGAACTTAGTTACATTTTAATTCTCAACTTTTAAAAAGGGACCAGAGGCTGGGGGCTGTGGCTCATGCCTGTAATCCCAGCACTTTGACAAGCCGAGGCGGGGAGATCACCTGAGGTCAGGAGTTTGAGACCAGCCTGGCCAACATGGTGAAACCCTGTCTCTACTAAAAATACAAAAATTAGCCAGCTGTGGTGGTGCACACCTGTAATTGCAGCTGCTTGGGAGGCTGAGGTGGGAGAATCTCTTGAACCCGGGAGGGGGAGGTTGCAGTGAGCCAAGATTGTGCCATTGCACTCCAGCCTGGGTGCTAGAGTGAGACTCCATCTCCAAAAAATAAAAATAAAAATAACAAATAAAAAGGGTACAGAGGGTGCCTAGAAATGCTTTTACCTTATTGTTCAGAGAACGTTGCTCTGTGGTCTTAGAAAAATAAGCTCAGGAGTACTCGGCTGCTTTCCTCTGCTGTCTCTACCAGCTCTGAACAGGCAGCATGGCCAGCCACCTTGATTATATGACCTCCAAGCTTCACAGACCTTCAAGGTAGGTGATATTATTGAAATCTTTCATTTAGTAAGCTCACCTAACCTGCTCAAAGCAAGGGTGACTAAGTTATTGTCAAATTGAATCACTTGTGAGAATAAAAGGCCGTGCTATTCTACTTATGCCAGCACAAACAGCATAAACCAGGACTGTTCTAGACCCAGCAAGCAGGAAGTATAAGCAGCTTTCCTCTGGTCAAAGAGTTGGCAGGTGGTGCTGAACGACTCCGGAACGTGAACTGCCCTACAGCAGGCATCTTCTACAGTCAAGCTGAGGTCTCCTGGAGGTTACAAGCACCTGCAAAAGTGATTCCCCAACATCTTGTCCAAATAACTTCTCTTATCTTTTTATTAAAAAAAAATAAAACAGTCATCACCAACCACATGACAACTTGCCAGGCAAGGCCTCACTTCCCTCCCTCCTTCATGTCCCATGTGCCTAGTCAGCAGGGTCAGGGAGGCAGTCAGCACTGAGGTTAGCTTCGCCCAAAGGGAGTATTACAGAGAGAGGCTTGGGAAAGTGAAGGAAACTTTCAGCATTGAGAAGTCACTTAAAACTGATTTGTTTTCAGTAACTGGTATGTCTAAAATGCAGGGAGGGAAGACCATGCTGTCAACAATCATAACCCACTTTTTACAGGTTGGCTCCAGGGAGAGGTCGGTTGGAATGGTGTTTAAAGGAAGGAGAATGGTTTCACGAGCTTGCTCAGCTCTCCTGGAACGAAGACTAAGGTGCTACATGTTGCTTGTTAGGCTTATACTACGGCGAGTCTGGGGCTGCAGGTCAGGAGTCCTTGTTAGTGCATTTAGTGCTGGTGAGAAGGGTAGGCCCCAGTCTTGGACGCTGAAGTCCTCTAAAGACAAGGCAGAGACACAGCCTCAGATCCCCCGTCACCTTCCACTGAATAAGGGGGATGGAGAGGAGGTCTCAGCGGTTGGCCTCCTGCAAGCCCAGATGCCTGCCAGCCTGGGCCTGCTTCCTTAGCGCTGTGAGAGCTTGTGTCTGATGGGCAGAGAGGAGCAAGTGCAGTCGCTGTCAGGTTGACTCCGCGCAGGGCTCCCCAGCTTTGGGCTTGCAGGGTGACCCTGCTCTGTGACCCAGCGGCGGCTTCAGCCCCAGAGAGGGCCGTGGCACAGGTGGTTTAGGCATAGCCGCCAGCCATTTGACTGGTGGCTGCATTGCTGCCTACTCCTCGCCAGGCCTGGTAGCTGAAGAAGGCACTCACTCCATAGGCGATCATCACCAAACATGCAAAGAACTGAAAGAGAGGCGAGAAGGGTGTAAGGACCAAGAGGGTAACAGTGACACAAGCTCCAACCAGATCTCAGGCCAGGCAGGAGGGGTTATGGCAGCTGTACCATCTCACACTCAGCCAGATGTATTTCACAGCTGTTTATCATGGAGCTGATGAGCACCAGGGTCCTGGGATGCCAACATTACCTTCTAAGCATGGGAAACAGCTAAGAACCACAGGCGGGGCCTATCAGATTGTGATAAGGACAATGAAGGACAAGATAAGAGTGACAGAGGGGACATCTAGCAAGGATTTAGTTCTAAAAAGACAACATTCAAAGGCCAGCCTAGGAATTTTTCTAGAACCAGTTCACGCCTCTATACTAACACCTGCAGCCACATTCAGAAGCTCCCCGTCTCTGTCCCCATCACTGAATTTGCTGATTTCAAAACTGCCCTCATCAGGAAGAGTAAGGAACCAAATGAGTGCCCATCGAGGCCCTGCCCTCCCCTGGGTTTGGCCGTGGCTCCAGGCCTGGAGTCCAACCTCTCTGAGCGGGAGCCTCCTGTCTGTCAAAAAGGACTGGTAGTCCCTTCCTCTCCCTCACTGTGGGTGTCGCAGGATCCTGGGAGGAGATGGTGTGCAGGGCCTGGTGGCATGAAGGGTGACAGGCGTGGAGGGGACTGCAGCCACTTCACTGGCCACCTGACGTGGGCCTGGAGTCTGGGTTTCATGGGAGAGCCTATGAATCTCCCAGAATGGTTTAAACCAAAAGGTTTTTGCACGTGCACTTGTCAGTGGGAGAGCATCCAGTTTTTCACATTCTCCAAGGGGGCACATGACCCTAAGTCAGTGTGGCACAGTTGATTTACAACAAGGTTCCATAGTTAACCCAGGCAGGGTGTGGTAGCTCACACCTGTAATCCCAGCACTTTAAGAGGCCGAGGCGAGTGGATCACCTGAGGTCAGGAGTTCGAAAGACCAGCCTGGCCAACATGGTGAAACCCCATCTCTACTACAAATACAAAAATAAG